AGAAATGGCAATGTCATTCTGCTGGGGGGGGGGAAATTATTCCACTACTTAGGCAAGTCCTCTGATTTTGGTATGCTTATCCAACCCTAGCCCTCAGGAAATTTGGCACCATATACTGTTTTATCACAACTGCCTCAGGCTCATAGGAAGGCTTTACTCTAGTTCTCATGGATGTTCCTGTCTTTGCTAAACAAAACTAGGCCTAGGCTAGGATTACTATCAGTTGTCAGCCTGAAAAGCCGTTTTCTATATAAAACAGCAAACTGCCACTCTTCTTTTCAACAGCCACTCTTTAAATGTGAAACTGCAGAGTCAGTGAGTTACTGAGTGGCAGAAGAGACTGGACTTTCCTCCCTCAGTAGTAGATTTCATGCCCAAATAGATGTAGAGAGCAGAGATTCCCCAAATCTATTCCCTCCTGCAGGAGGAGGAATCTGAGCCTCACTGTGTTTCAGTGTTCAGAGGTTGTTCATATCTATCTCACTTACAGGAAAGAATCAGTATAACATGATAACGTTTCAGGTTAGATATAAGGAAGAAGCTCTTTACTGTGAGGGTGGTGAGGCACTGGAATGGGTTGCCCAAAGAAGTGGTGAATGCTCCATCCCTGGCAGTGTTCAAGGCCAGGTTGGACAGAACCTTGGGTGACGTGGTCTGGTGTGAGGTGTCCCTGCCCATGGCAGGGGGGTTGGAACTAGATGATCTTGAGGTCCTTTCCAACCCAAACCATTCTGTGATAATTTGTAGGCTTGCATTCATGAAGGGTGGCTTTTTTTTCAGTGTGCCATAAACAAACATAAAGTCTTCCATGGAAACCGCAAAATTTTCCTGGAGTTTGCACTGAGTGGTTTAAAACAGAAGCCCAGCAGTATCATGTGTGATACAACCCCCTCCTATATGCCTTGCAAGGACCTTTAAATTGTTAGAGAGCTTCATCAACCTGCACTCCCTGCCCCAGGAGTTGTCTTATTTAAGTATAAATAAGGGACATTCCCAGCCACTTATCACGTCACCACTGTCTCATGTGGGAAGGTCCGAACTAAGGTGGGAGGAGAGGGGAGATCAATTAAGTCTTTTTTTTACTCATGGCAAATCCACATCTGTGTTGATGTTGTCAGTGCGGTGCTCGCATTTTCAAACTACTGCCCTTCTGGTTGAGGAGTCATATATTAACCAAGATAGCAGTTCTGCCAGGAAATAACAAGGATACCATCCATTTCAGCAGTGCTTTTCATCAGATCATTCCTACTTACTTTACAAACAGAATTAAGGAAGCCTCACAACATCCCTGTGAGGTAGGTGGAAATTCTTACACCCATTTTACAGGTGGAGAAAACAGGCACTGAGAGGTAAAGTGATTATCACAGCAAGTCAGAAGCAGAGCTGGAAATAAATCTAAGATTATTATCCTAGGTCCACTGCTCTAGACACTAGAGAACACCAACTCCCACATGCTACTGTAAGCTAAGACACTACCTTTCTCTTCTACTTTCACCTCCTTTGGTGATTTTGACACTTGCTCTTAAGCTCCCTGCAGAGAGCCATGTGGTCAGTTAGTAATTTATTTGCACAGGGAGCCAAGGGGGGTACACACACCTTTACATGATTCAGGCATGGCTCTAATTGTCCGGTGACTTCCCCCTTCCCAGGGAGATAATTCTCCCTGGTCTTCACATATACACCTCTTTTAATTCTTTTTGAAGCATAATCATACACTAGATCCACAGCTCTGAGGCTGTTAGGCAATTTCGCTAGGAATTTCTTGAATAAATGATTAAATTTGTCTCATTGAGGGGGAATAAAACACGTTTATATGCTATCACATCTGGAAATAGCAATAATCCTTTGCTCATCCGTAGGGCCTTCCATCCAAGGACCTCCCAATCTACTACTAACATGATATATCGAGCCTCACATTATCTTTGTGAGGTAGAAAATTATTCCCAATTGTACAAGAAGGAGGAATGACTTGCTGACAGTCCCACAGTGATTTCATTGCAGAGATGAGGCTGAATGCCAGAAGACGGGCCTGTTAGTCCCTGCCCAGCTCGCTGAGAAGCACTGTCTTGATGATGTGGCTTGTACTTGGTGGCTACAGGTTCACTAGCAGCCTGGCAGGGTGCTTGAAAACTGGCTTGAGAAATAAAAATCAACAGCAGTTGACTGGATGCAGGAGGAAAACGCTGGCTTGTTTCATTGTGCTGTTGTGACCCGGAGGAGCTTTCCTGGGGCGGCTGTGAAAGAACTACAGAGTGTCCATTGAGTAGGCTTTATACAGTGCATTTTACTGAGGCATTCCAGTGAAAAAGAATGACATACTCAACATCTGATGATTAAAAACTGAACTACCTGACAGCTATATATGAACCATATACTCATCTCGAAGTAGTCCAGTGATCTAATGAAGGTATGCATGTCAGAGGTCAGGAACAGGAGTGGTTGTGTGTAAAAGGACTTTTCAAGTAATTAGAAGTCCATGAGGGTGGGTATGATTCCTCTTGTTCAGTACCTTGGTATCTGGAAGGTTCACATGCTCTAGAGAAGGTAGAAGATACCTTACACTGAACTGTTACAAGCTTTTGTTTTTTACATACAGGAAAGTGTGTTTCTGGCCCCCTTCAACAAGTGGGCTGGTTGATTCTTAGAACCATTAAACCTCTCTTTCTGTTTTATGCTTAGAACCATTAAAACTCTCTCATAACTTTCTGTGAACAAAATAAAAGGTAATAGATCCCATCTAGTCTAAGTGTGGTGATCTTGAATTGGGCACGGTGGACTCTTTCCTGCAGAAGAAACTTTCTCCTCCTCTTCTCAGTTGCCTTTCATTTGTGCTAACTGTTCTCCTGTTTCTGTATTAAGAGAGTAGATAAATGCTAGCCTCCAGATTCTCTCTCTGCATGTTCCTTTGCATGTGTTGCTTTATTATATTCCTTCCGAAAACTTTCAGTCTTCCTTCACAAGGAAGGACGACCTAACAGCCTTTGTCCAGGGAGCAAAGATTTTGACCTCAGGCTGCAAACCTTGGGAAAAAACACAGGCCCAAGCCAAGAGGAGCAAAAGGATTAATAGTGTAAAAAAACCCCAACCCACAAACATGGCAATGCTACGGTGCTGGAGAATCCCAGAGCACCCTGCAAGCTTTCTACATATGTACAGCTTACCTCACTCAGCAGTGAAGTCCAGCCACCTCTGTGCTCGTATGGGGCAGCTGCGTAACAAGGCAGGGGAACTCCACCAAATAGGTTAGATCAGTGTGGGGGGCAGAACTGAGTGCATTGGTGGCTGCCTGGGCAGGGACACGGGGCAGCAGGACTGGAGGTGTGAGCCCAAGCCTACCCAGAGCTCTCTCAGACATCCATCTAACTTCCATGGGCTTTGAGTCAGCCCTGCTACAATGGGAGACGGCAGGGGGTCTTATCTAGCTGATGTCGGGATGAGTTCTATGCATTATGCCAAAGACTGCTTTTTCCCTGACCTGGATTAGAGCCTGCCCTGGGAACAATGGCATGGGCTGCAGCCCAGCAGAAAGAATTCGCTGAGCTGGCAGAGTCTGAGGTTTGCAGAGCAGAGCAGATGAGAGCGCATACCTGCACTTTTCTGGCATGAGGCTCAATTTTGGGGGGACATGGATATTAATGTGAAGCTTTTGAACACATTTCTGTGCTGTCCCAGCCAAAAGGTGCAGCTGAAGTCCTAAAATTAGAAATCCACACACATTTGCAAGCACATGCCTTTCTGCCTTTTGTAAAACGATTTTGATGAGGCTCTGAGAGTTCTCTACAGACCTGTTGGCATAAAAGGTCTAAATCATCTTTTGAAAGGCCTTGTTTTACTTGAGGCTTTGGCATTTAATAGAGATGTAGACCACTGGATGGCTCCCGTCTGTCAAATTAAAAACAAAAGATGTCAAAAGGCTATTATCATACCAGACTTTTCCAGCTTGAACAACCAGTTTTGTATTTAGAGTTTTAAATAGTCACATAGTTACCCAGACCCCTGGTTTAGGTTCACAGGTGCCTTCAGGACTCTGAGATTTGCCGAGTGCCTGTAAGTCTGGGAGCTCCAGGAACTGAGCACATGTCAAGATCATGTCATGAAGGCTTATATTTGGTTTCATGCTCTGGGGGCTGTAGCTGTTTCCTCCTTTCGCAGAGCCTTCCCACGCTTGCTTTGCTAAATCAAGATTCAGATCTTTTAAGTCACAAGACTACAAGTAAAAAATACCACTTGAATTTATTCTTTCCAGTGCTCTGAAATAGGCTCGGGGCTAGATGACCCTCTTGGGAACAAATAATCCATCTGTGGGCATCTGCTAAATCCTAGTAGAGAGCTGCTGTTAAGCTTGCCCACTGTCAATGTCACTTGGAAGAGCAGAAATGGTTTTGACAAAGGGAGAATATTTTTACCTAACTCAGATTTGCATTCTCAGAGAAACTGGAGACATTTTGGCTTTATTTTCTGAATAGAGAGGGGAAATAGTGCTTACTAGTTTAGTGCATTGATGCTAAGCACAGAATTCACTTTGTGAATTAAATAACTGCAATTCCATGCCAGCAGCGAAGGGGAGATCTGCTCAGCATGCCATAGGTGGAAACAGAAAAAGAAATACTAGATACAGTTGTTGATCAGCCTTCCCCTTCACTGGCCAAAGAGAAATGTGGAACACAAAGCTTCCAGTAAATACGTTCACAGTAGTGACATTTGGGTTTCACTGCCACGGTAGGTTTTAAAAGACATCGGTTATGTGTACAGCGTAGTTATTCCTGTAAGGAGTGAGCTAGCATGTGGAAACAGGGAAAATGTTCCTTCTCAAATGGACATACAGGGCAAAAAAGGCACAGTTACCATGATAGTACCTTTCCAGTTGAGAATCTCAAGAGGAAATAATATTCAAATGGCCATTTTAGCACTTTACTTAAAAAATACCTTTTGATTCTTTCTCTATCTCTCCTTTTCTCTCCAACCTTTTCATTTTCATGTGCTCCCCATATCCTGCACCTTCATACAGTCAAATCATCTGACCTGGCCCGGCTGCTGGCTTTACTTAGCCTGCTGAGGGGTCTCATATCAGTGGCGAGTTCACTAGGTGCTGAAGGCCCTTCCACTTCATCGCTCACCACCTCCTCTTCTTTCTTCACCCCTGGCTCTTCCTGAGGTTCCAGCTGCTCCTCTTCTGGTTCCTCCTCCTCTGCTCTTACCTTCTCCTCTTCCGGCTCCTTCACTTGTGCATACGATGGTAACCTCTCATCGAATGCCCTGGAGAGATCTTCTAATGGTCCCATCCCGATCTTCTCCTCAAACTCATTGAAGGCTGATGGAAGGGGGCTGGGCTCAACCCCTACTTCCGTGAGAGGGAAATAGTGGGGCACCGGCTTCTCTTCTTCCAGCAGCTTGTAGCCTTTGGTCTTTGGGATTGAGGGGACTGTGATGGCATGGAGGGGCTTCTCTGGGACTTCTCCGAGCTGTTCCTCTGCTGGTCTTCTCAGAGCCTTCCGGATCCTTTTCAGGATCAAGTGACTGATCTCCACCAAGTTGAGGAAGAGGGACACGGAAGCCACCGCCAGCATGAACATAATAAAGATGGTCTTCTCCGTGGGCCTGGAGACGAAACAGTCCACAAGATTGGGACAGGGCCACCGCCCACAGCGGTAAAGTGGAAGAATTCGGAAGCCATACAGGAAGTACTGACCTACTATGAATCCCACCTCAAAGAGGGTTTTGAAAATGATATGGAAGATGTAGGTTCTCAGGAGAGTACCTTCCAGGCGAAACTTCTTGGTCGCATTAGGATTGTTGCCTTTGTTTTGATTTGGAGCCAGGGGCAGCTTCTCTTCATCCACCTCAGCTTGCCGACGCCTCTCAGCTTCCTCCTTCTCTCTCCTCTTCTCCTCCATGCGGACATGGTGCACCGCATGCCCAAAGTACATTAGCGAAGGTGTGGATACAAAAATGATCTGCAGAACCCAGAGCCGGATGTGGGAGATGGGGAAGGCTTCATCATAGCAGACGTTCTCGCAACCAGGTTGCTGGGTGTTGCACACGAAGTCTGACTGTTCGTCTCCCCACACTAGCTCAGCGGCTGTTCCCAGGATCAGGATGCGGAAAATGAAGAGCACTGTGAGCCAGACTCTCCCGATGACAGTGGACTGCTCGTTCACCTGCTCTAAAATGTTCCCCAAGAAACTCCAGTCACCCATTTCTTACTGTCTAAGGAAAGAAAAAAAGAAAGAGAATGACCACCAATTATGCTAAATTTTAGCTTTCAAATTTTCCCACTGATGCCTTTTCTTGCTTTCAACCAGTAAGTATTTCCCTAATACGCTTTGAGAAAAGAAAGAAGGTTGCTTGCTTGCTTATTTGCCTGATCACAATGGTTCATTTAGCAGCAGAAGAGCTAGGAAGCCAGAGCAAACTGCTTGCTAAATTCGTTCTTCCCTGGCTCTAAATGGGCAATTACTTTTCAGCCGGGGAGTATATTTATCTCCTTTTCCAAGTAAGAAACTTCCGTGGTGCCTCGTAAGCTCGGTTGCATGAGCCTGCTTAGATTTTGTACACGTACAAACACGTGCCAGCAGTACAGTAGAACAGATTTATCAGCATGCAGCTGCAGTGCTTTGAAGAGTGAAGCTTTCAAGCACTCAAGCTGTTCTTGAACCAGAACCACACACAGGTCAAACAGATCTGAAATCGGTGCCCATGTTGCACCTGCACAAACCTGAATTCTCTCTAGGTTGCATATATTAATTCTACATTAGAAATCACTCTGTTAGGTAATAACAGCAATTACAACATCATTGCTGTGTTAGTAATAATATACAAGCTTAATAACTACCACATATATACTACTTTGCTGTATAGTATGTATTATATACAATACAATTATTTGGTGTTATTGGGGCTGTTCTTTGTATCCTCTTCCGAAGTCAATTGCCAGACTGACATTGGAACAAACCTGGAGAAAAACATGAGGGTCTGTAACTGTGACCTAAAATACTATTTTGTCTCTCTAAAACGCCAGTGCTGCTGTCTCAGACTAACACAGAGCTGGAAGCCGGCTGCAGACATGCTATTGGAAAGCTAAGAAAGTAGTCCATTTACGAGTAATGCAAGTCAAACACTACAGCTGTCATTTTTGCATGATAATAAATTATTCCTAGGCCAGGACTTGATCCGGTGTGTCCTAAGCTTCCCACTATATAATTTTAGGCAAGGGAAAATCTACGAATGAGGGAAATAACAGAGGAAACTTCTTTGGGATGGGCTGATTTAACACATCCCAGCCATCTGAAGTCTCTGAGGAATGCTGAATATTACAGCAGTCCAAAAAGACTGAACTGTGGACCATGACAAGTGAAACGGGGAACATTTTCCATAAAATAGCTGTTCCCAGGGATCTAGTTCATCTCTTAGATACTACCTCCATCTATAGTTTCCTAAATGCAGACACACATACACAAGTGCTGGATAAAAGAAGGTACAGTCAACAGCATGGAAATCTGAGTATCTAAACTTCCCTCCTCTCTCAAATACCACTGGGATATATTTGTAATGCCATATGTTACAACACACCAACGCATCCCAGTCTGTTTCAACTACTGTGTGTACATATTCACACATAGATAAACACACAAAATATTGAGAGTTCTATGGCTCTGGGGAATGTCACAAATTTTCAACCAGAGAAATCCTTCTGATGTCATTGTTCTAAAACAAGATGGACTCATTTGCCCTGCTTTCAAACCTTGCAAAATTCTAACCCCAGACACCCATGTTAGAAGACAAAGAACAGAACACACTCCTTCAGCTTGCACAAACACCTTGCATGTGTAAGCAGCAAACATATAATTTAATCACCGAAGAAAATTGCTACTTTCTCAGTCATTAAAGTTGTGGAGAAGAGTGTGTTAATGTCAGCACTTACATTAACAAGTCTAGCAGAAGATTATGCTGTTTACATACATTATCTAAACTGATTTAAACATTCTCTTTCTGCAAATTCACAGAGCAAAGTACACCCCTCGGTTACCGATCATGTGCAACTCTAAAAAACGTGACTACACACAGTATGAACTTCATTGTCCCCCAGGCACTGCAGTTAACTCCATCCCTTTCTTTGTGAGTCACGCCGATATCCACATCTAGCATTTGAACATCCCCACTGCAACACGCAAGAGCGACATTCTCGATGTGATAAACCTTATCATACGGAAAACTCATTGTATAAGAGAAGGAAAAGTATTTCCTAACTCCATCAAAAGTCTCACTTGCAGGTTGCTACATTTGGCTAAACTCCTCCTGAGATCACTTCCGAACTAGTCACGTTTTTCATAGCTCTGCCATGCCCATCCTCTCAGTTTTCTGCCAGCAAAGTGGTTGGAAGCTGCTCAATCGGTTCAACTGCAAGAAACAACTTTGGGCAGACTGTAGATGAGTGGCACAACCAGTTCTAATGTCTAGGGTTCCACCTGCAAGCAGTGAGCCCCTCAAGTCCCAGAGAAAGGTGCAAACGATGAATTTAGGCAGTCACCTTTTTCCTTAAATTGCCTATGACGAGGAGGCTGCCTAAGCCCACTTGGAGTCAACAGACTCGTGTTCGTAACTCACATGGGCTTGTTGCAAACCCCCACCCTGCACTTCCAGATGTTGCAACCTGAGCACACCACCACCAGCAAAAAAGACTCTATAGGTTAAGGACGTTGAGCAAGCAACTTGCCGCTGTGAAAGGCTCCACCGAAGAAATGTGTCCCCCTCCTCTCTTGGCACTCTGCAGGGAAGAGTGAACTTTTGTCTCTCTTCTTCCCTACCCTAAAAGTCCCAATCTTGTCGCACGACTGAGCAGATATGACTGAATTGGCTCTGATGGTGGGTTTTAGTTGCCCTGCAATATTTAAGCTCCGAGCCAGACGGCTTTATGAAGTGACTGACAGTTAGTGACATGGGGAACAATAGGGAGAAAAAAAATAGAGAAAGAGAGGCAGAGACAGAGAGAGGAGAATCCACTGAACATGGAAAACCAGAGCAGGGAGAGGAACAGGAGAAAGGCAGCAAAAACCTAATACATGCCTAAACGTGAGTTTGCACAGTTTTGCAGCAGAAGCACCTCTGCAATTCTGGTAGGGTTCAACACAGCTCTGTGTGTGTCCCCACTCGCTAGTCTTTAGGTGTTGTGGTGTGACGGGTGACAAGGGAGTGCCAACTTCTCTGATAGTGGCAGAACTAACTGAATTATTTTGTACCCTGCGCCCAGCTCTGACAGGTAAGTCATATTGTTGATTTCCAGAGCAGGCAGTCACTGAGGTACCTGTAGTTGGCATCGTCATATACATTGAACTGCTCTTTAGCAGCTTGTACCTGGAAAAAGAAGCAGTATTGGAAAATGGGATCATCAGTCACTATTAATCGAGCTGAAAAACACCAATTTTACAACCTTGCCTTTCAGTGTCTTGGCTCTGTTTAGTGTTTCGTCCAGTTGCATTTTGCACATGCACAGGCATCACAAATGGCTAAACAAACTGTTTTGTTAAGGAGCACAGATGAATTCCAGCAGCCCAGCAAACAAGAATGTTACCTCGGGCGCACTCACCTACCCCCAACCATCTGCAGAAATGCTGGAGAGTCCACAGAAGAGAAAAGTCACAAGCTCAGTAATGCATCCACAGGTACAACTAACTGCCCGTGAGCTTTGGTGATAAGCTAAAGGATATAGCTTTACTCTCAGGTGTTATTCTTGTAGTCTTTCTGTATGAATTGCTCAGAATGTGCTCTTAGTGCTCAGCTCTGAAGAAAAGGAGGGTAACTGGAAGCAAGATCTGCTAAGCAATGATAAAGATACTGAGCCCATAACATTACGAAGCAGCAAGTAGCTCTCCTCTCTCTTCATGCAGATTCAACACTGAATGGCACTGGGAGCTGCTCTGTCTCTAGAGAAGCTGTCATTTGAATGTGATATTTTGTGAGGGTCACAAAATAGCGTATCTTCAAACCAGTGGCTTCAGGCCTCTCTTCAGTGTTTCTGGGCATTTATGCCCATGTAAATTCAGAGCCTCATTTCAACAGCTGTCTTCCCAAACAGCTTTTAAGCAAAGTTGCATAGCTCCAAAGTTCAAACCACTTTGAAGATGAGATGATGTTTCTCCAACTGGATTTCAAAAGAGGTAAAGGATAAGTAAAAATGGAAAAGAATCATATTTTGCAAAAGGAACCAGTTTGGAGGACCAAAAGAAAAACATCCATCTCCATGCATGCAGTTGGAATGAGGGTCATTTCTCAACACCTTAATAAATCACTCTCTTAATAGACAAGTAGTAGAGGTTTATAGCTGACATTTTCCAGCTTGCGCTACACGAAGCATGGGAATAATATTCCAGGAGAGAGGACACACAGAGGAGAAGACACAAGTCCCAAGAACACGAAATGAATTAAAAAAGGCACAGTTTGATCAACAAGAGGAATAAGGACAGGAAGGAAGAGTAAGAAATACCTTTGTTGCTTTGTTTTGCTATATGCTACTGAGATGAACTAGGATTAATATATGAGCGACTGGTCATCACTGCCACCCTCACCCCCTCCCTGGGAAGCAGTAAGAGAGGGAGGACTAAATGGTACGATCAGCCACTAACATCTTTATAGAGTGCCTGCAAGCTGGTGCATCACAGAGGCCAGATGGTTCACATGTTAAACTGCCCATCCCTTCTCAGACTGAAACTGTCTTTTTGGAAAACAGCTCTGGCTGAACATGCATATCCCTTTTGGGGCCTTATCTCTCCAATATAATGAGCCAAAACCCAAATCTGGTATGTAGCTACATGGCTGTATTCCATCTCTAAATTATATCCAGCTACTGTCAGAGACATTTCCCATTAACCTTTTATCTGCCATTTGCAAACACTATCCAAATATCAAACGTTGTCTGGCAAGTTGCAGAGCAGCTTGCAAAATGCAGCTGATGCAGAAAATACATGCAAGTCACTGATTATTTGGTGTATGGTTCCTTCGTCTGAATGATCAGGGTGACTTTCTTTGCTCTTGCTAGGGTGCAGAGCCTTTAACATGGGGCACACAGAGTCTGCTGGACGTTTCTGGTTTGGGGAAAACCACACAGTCCCTTCAATTGAGTTCTGGGACAGATTCTCCAGCTCACTAGGGCTTCCCCCCGACAAAAATGGCCACAGAAAATGGCCTAAATAAAGTTGAAGATGGCCAGTGAGGAATTCCTCTTGTACTGGGGCTACACAGGGAAGTGGCTGTTTGAGATGGGGATGAAAAGGAGACGGCAGAGCAGGAGAAGAGAGGGAAGGCGACTTGATTCTCTCAGACATCAGGTTAATGCTAGAAGTCAGGGCTGCCTTTTCAGTATGAAAGGAATAGCTGAGAAAGAAAGGCGTAGAGATCATAAAACCAAAGGTGTAGAAGACTGGACCTCACACACGCATGCGACGTTCGCTGAGTCTGCAACACAGACTGTGCCAGGCTGGTAATGGCCAACACTTCCAACCTGTGTACATGGCCCAGCATTTATGCTCTCATTAAGCAACCCATAGAAGTGCCATGTCCAAAAACCAGCACTGGAAATAACAGCAGCTAATGAGAGTGACTTTGTCTTGCCTTTGGGACTTTTCTTGCCTTCGAAGAACCGTGGGCATCACCTGTACTTTTAAATGTTATTATCTTTGGAAAGAAGTTTGCTTCACTGCCGACTTCTCATTCCTTAGCTGCTTCGAGGCTGGTGACTGAGCTCCCATCTCTGGAACCACTGAAACGGTGAAGTCTCTACTGCAATTCAGGCTTTCACTCAGAGACTAGGAGGTCACTTGGGGAATGCGGGATTTTTCATTCCAAACGGATTTCCAACATAGACATGATGTCAGGACAAGGCAGGGCCATGCTATTGAACAGCTCTGTTCATGCATGATAGCAGATTGTGCAATTATATAGCTCACAACCCTGGATAACGATACCTCTCCCTCAAACAAAGTTATCTTCTCCTGATCTGCTTAGCTAGAAAGTGGCACATGCTTCCTGTTCTTCTGCTGAACACGCAAACCTTTTGCTCATGGCTGAAGCTGAACACTAGGTATATTCTGCCTCCCTGCAAGAAGATGGGAGCTTTACCCAACGCTCCTGCTTGCTAGATGCTACCCAACTTAGCAGACATCTGTTTTCTAGTAACACGTCTTTGTCCTTCCTAGAGCCAGAGTGATCTATCAGCCTGATCACCAGGACCAGAGTCTCCCAGATTTCATCTTCTCTCTGCCACCTACTGGTCCCAGAGGTCATTTAAGTGTGGTTAACCCTGGACAAGTCTTTAGGCAGAACTCGTTCCTGCAAGCCTGGAAAATATCACTGTCCACGTTTTAAGGGCAGAGCTCTGAGTTTTCTGTTCAGAGCCCTCCAGGCACTGGCAGGGGGGGGGGGGAGGAATATAAATTGCTGGGGAATATATTTTGCTAGGGAACTGCAAACAAACTATAAAGAAAAGAGAGGGAGGAAGATATAAAGCATAAAGAGGAGGGAAATCGGGTAAGTATTTAAGTAACAGGAAGGTTTGGGCCAGAAGAGAGGAAAAGAGGTGAAGGAAGGGTTGAATTGTGCTGAGCCTCAGGTAGAGGATAAATACTTACAGGAAACATGTTTTTAATTTAAGGGTTAGAAGAAAACTAGACAATGAATAAAGATAAGCAGGGCACAAGTGGAATGTCTTTCAATATCTATTTAACTTAAGTGCAGTTCCTCTGAAAATTACTGTTAGAAGAGGACCTGGGAATTACAGGCCAGTCATCCTAACCATGATGCCTACAGAGATACTGGAACCAATTATGAAACAATCAATTTATAAGTAGCTAAAGGACAAGAAGGTGATAAGAAACAACCAGCAGGGAATTCTGAAGAACAAATCCTGTCAAAACAGGCTAATTTCCTTCTTCGACTAACAGGCCTGCTAGATGAGGAGAAAATAGTAGATATAAAATACCTTGACCTTAGTGAGCATTTAGAAAATACCTGGATCACAGGCTCCCATGGCAGCAAGCAGTCACCATGCAGAGGCTACACAAGTTGAAGTACCAAAGGTAATTATCAGGGCTTCACTTTTCCAGCTGGGAGGATCATGTCCCTGACGTTCTGCCTCCAGGGCTGCTCAGTGTACACCGTGTGTTGGACAACAGACTAGAGGACAACACTGAAAGGGTGGCAGCTGGGCTGGGGTCAGCAGTCCCTCCTGAAGGAATGTGAGATGCTGGAGAGCTGGGCTGCCCTCTGCAGAGGTGACTGCACCAAGGTGCACATCAGGAGCAGTGACTGCACAGGCACCAAACGTGCTGGTCCAGACTAGGTCGTAACCACCTCACAGCAGCGCAGCAAAGAGCGAGCTGGGGTGGGACTGGATATGAGCCTGTAAAGTGAGATTCCAGCAGAAAGAAGACGAATCTCACCCTGAGATGCTTTAAGGGGAGTTTTGTGTATAAGGCAAAGGAAGCAATTATTTTGTGCATTCACTCAATACTGCTGAGCTCTCAGCAGGAGCAGCGTGTCCGGTTCCAGGCACTACATTTTGCAGGAGATGTAGACAAATTGGAAAGAGTCCAAAAAAGAACAACAAAATGATAAGAGCTGTGAAAAAAAACATGACTTACAAGGAACGGATAAAATAACTGAGTTTGTTTTCTCTAGGAAAAGAACAACAGGAGGGGAGGCATGATAACAGTCTTCCAGCACATAAACATTTGTTATAATGGGTGGAGAGACTAAGCA